GAATAGTACTTTATAAGGCAGTTCGTAGTTGACAGTTGGAGGCATAAAGTCAGAGGTCATTTCCAGAATGCTGTGATTTCCAATGTCAACCAACAGTCTGTTGCACTCTGCATTGAATTGATTTGTGCAACTGGCAATGTGAACAAGTCTGTATGTAGTCCATCTAGCCTCTCTTTCCAGAGAAATGTGGAGAGGAGGTAGATCTAGAAAGATCTCCATGGCCGCTGACGGTGTGGTACTGATGGCACCACTGATAGTCAAACAAGTCTGTCTCTTTGAGCCAGAGATATTCGCTTGGGCCGTTCTCTCAGCAAGTAGTAGTGAGATAGCAAGTGTAGTGAGATATTGCACTGAAACAGAAATGAAATAGGTAAAAAAAATAATGTTGAAGGATTGAAAAAAAATATGTAGACAAGGTGCTAAAAACTGAAAAATAATTCGGGAGGTCCTAGGTAGCAGTCATCATACCACTCTCCTCAACAATCTACGGTTTTGATCAGATAAAAAGTAATAAAATCGTTGGGCGTAGTGTATGTAACCTGAGTAAATATGTGAATACTACGATTTTATTATTTTTCATCTGATCAATACCGTAGATTACTGAGGAGAGTGGTGTGATGACTGCTACTTAAGACTTTCCTAATATTTATTTACTGTCTAGTACATTATCTACATCATTATTATCTTTTTTTTTCCAATGAAACCGTTTAACATAAACATTTTTTTTTACTTATTTTATTGTCATTCAAGATATCTGCAACTTGTACATCGTGTGTACCGATTTCGTAAATAAACACGTATTCAAAATTTTCAGTTGTTCAATTTTTCAATCATTTGCAACTTGACAAATGAATAACTGAATATTTGAGTGAGAATAGACAATATAAAATCGACAATTTAAGCAATTTAGCTCAATAATCCATGAAAATTCCATACTACTTCAACTTGAAAACCCAATATCTCAAGAAATATCCATGTTAGAAATTTTATGCTCTGAAACTTTTTTGTAGCAAATTGAATTTCCTACAAGTTTGCCATTCATATTTTTCATGTAGCTTTTGTCATCCACCAGATAGGGGCAAAAAAAACGGGAATTTCTTGAAAAAAATGGGTTTAATGACCCGTCCTACCCCGTCAGTTCGAGTTATGATTACGCCACAATGGACATTTTTGTAGAGCATTCAATTCTGAAGAAATCCTAATAAAGTTTACATGTATTTCAAATGGGAAATCATAATATGCCTTGGTCGAACACTTAATATTGATATTAAGGATTCAAATTTTCAGGGATTTTCTTTAAAGTATGTTCCACACAATTTCGAGGTGGGAGTGAACAAAATAATATAGTCACAGAAAAAAAGCAGCTTTTTGAAGTTGATAGGAAAGCAAACATTTAGTAACACTGAAAAGGTATAGTAATATTCACTAGCAAATGTACTGGAAATTGGCAACAATCACATCCGGTGTCTTTGTATAGTATTAGAAATATAGTATTATGACTTAAACCAACATAAAAAAAGTATTGTATTTCATAAATAAT